TGCATCGGAAATCATCCTTTTGATGTAGGATGTTCTTGGTCGTCCTCGATCTCTTTTGCCTTTTATTTTCCCTTCTACTATAATATACAGAAGCTCTTTTTTTGTGTCTCAAGAGTCAAGACATGAGCATATGACCAATCATATTCTATTCTATCCTCTTTCTTTTATGGTGCTAAGGGTCTTCCTGGTTTCAGTTATTTGGTTTAAAACATTTTCGTTAGTTCTTCTTTCTGTTTTGCTAACTCGCAACATTCTTCTCTAGAACCACATCTCGAAACTTTCGAGGAACTTTTGTTCTTCTTTTTTCAATACCCATGTTTCGCATCCTTATAGTACGACAAATGACAATTCACACATATACTTTTATAAGCCGTTTCTTCATACTTATGATCATGTTTTTAGAGCACAGTATTTTTATTTTGTTCATGAATGTTGTTTTTGCTTGAGCGATCCTTGATTTTACTTCCATAGTACATTTACCATCTTGGCTAATTATAATACTACCTAGATATCTAAAGCTTTGCACTTCGTCGAGAGTGGTTATCAATTTTAATTCTTAATTTTAATATTTTCGTTTATGATATTATTTATAGGTATATATGTATAATTGAATTAAAATTGCACACACCCATTACAGTGATTTCCTACTCGACACCTACTGTACAGTAGTGCGGTACTCACTTACACAGTTTTTTTATACCTGGGAATATGAACAAAACTAATTTATTTACAAATATTTATATTATATTATGTATACAACAAATTAGAAAATGTAGTGTATATTGTTTTACTTAGATATGTTGAAATTGAAAATAACCGATAATTGATTATGGGCTAAGTAGTACGTCACATTATTATATCTAAATACTTACATAGTTACATATATACAGTAGTAAATAATCTATAACAATACAACCAACTTCTTACTCTATAGTCAATATAATTAAAATCGGTTATTTTCAACATACCTATCTGAGTATAACCATATCTACTACATTTTAGGTACCTATCTATAACAATTAATAAATATACACAATATAATATATATTATTTTTAAGCTGACAAAACATTTAATGTGGAATTCACTTTTATTAGTAATTATCAACTATATTAGCTATTGAAACAAAAATAATTCCTATCATAAACATCAAGGGTTGCACTTCTTTCTAGAAACCAATTCATTTGTCAGTTCTTCGTAATTGAAAATAATCAAAATACATACATTATTGTAAATTCAATACATTCATCGCTATGCCCAGAATCTAAAATATGGTTAACATTAATTAAAGTATTTTAAAATTCTGTACTAAATGTAGGTAGGTACTATTCATTATATAATAAAAGAATCCTTAATATAAATGTACATAAAAACCAGGAGCTGACTGGCCCACTGTGCTGCAATGCAAAGGCACAGTGACCTGATGCCTTCTTATGTCCCCACTCCCCGGGGCTTTGCAAAAAAATAATCCACTTGAAATGGGCGTGTGCACGAGTGCAGCGAATGCAGATTTCAATGTACAGGAAATTTATTTTGGATTTAGTGATCTGGTAGATATTTATTTGAAAGTTCAAAGGAATACACAAAATAAATAATTGATTTTTAAATATTTTATGTGATTCAAATAAAAAAATGAAAATGCTATTTTATCGATACACGAAGTCTAAAAATAGAAGCGTTTTACATTGACGGAGAAATGAAACCCCTCAATAAGTTATCCTAAAAAAGTAACTCAATGGAACCATGGCCGAATAAACATTGTTGAAAAATCGTATATGACTGCGCTATCTATCTAGGAAACTGAAGAGCCGTGACGGCCAGTTTCTTACGTACGAATTAGGGGTTAGTATAATACGGCGGCAGTAGATGGCGCTGCTTTTATCGAATTAGTTTAGATCTATATAATAATACCGGCCAACGCCGTTAGCAGCGTTAGGTTAGATTAAACCACACTAAACCCAACTAAACCTCACGTAAACCTCACTAAACCCAACTAAACCTCACTAAACCTCACGAAACCCATCTTAACCTCACGAAACATCACATCTTTCAGGAAACCGATGAGCCGTGACGGCCAGTTTCTTACGTACGTATTAGGGGTAAGTATACTACGGCGGCAGTAGATGGCGCTGCTGTTATCGAATTAGTTTAGATCTTTATAATAATACCGGCCAACGCCGTTAGCAGCGTTAGGTTAGATTAAACCACACTAAACCCAACTAAACCTCACGTAAACCTCACTAAACCCAACTAAACCTCACTAAACCTCACGAAACCCATCTTAACCTCACGAAACATCACATCTTTCAGGAAACCGATGAGCCGTGACGGCCAGTTTCTTACGTACGTATTAGGGGTAAGTATACTACGGCGGCAGTAGATGGCGCTGCTGTTATCGAATTAGTTTAGATCTAAATAATAATACCGGCCAACGCCGTTAGCAGCGTTAGGTTAGATTAAACCACACTAAACCCAACTAAACCTCACGTAAACCTCACTAAACCCAACTAAACCTCACTAAACCTCATAAAACCTCACTAAACCCAACTAAATAACCCGTGGCGTGGGTAGTTAGATCGGAGCTTGTGACTTCACAGTCACTAAATATAAGTACAATGTATCTACTACCCACGGACTAAGATAGTATGGACTGGTATCGACTACCTTATCAGTGTCCCTCAAATGTTTTTAAAGCCGCCGTGAGGTACATCAACTAGTACAGGTCCGTGTATTGTCGGGCCGACCGGAGTCCGCCGCCATTGAGTACTCGTTCCCCCGTTGAGATGCCGCGATGCCGTGATCGCCGTCCCGCCCGCGGCGTCACAGATGGGGTGATGAACGACGTGGTCGGTGACACCTCCGACGATTCGCGGTGGCGAGTGGTGTGAGTGTCTGTCCGTCCAGTGTCCAGTCGTTCGTCTTGAGATCTCGTTTGCGCTTCAGACTAATGCCCTCTGCTCCTATTTAATGCAGCTCCGTGGTGTGCCTGGTCTTCGCGTTCGTCTTCCTCCTTAGTGGCCATGATGGATTCGATCATGGTTGTGTGAACGTGGCGGTTCGTTTTAGCCTGCTGAATCGGTCTTTCCCTGGCGGCGGAATCGTCGGGCAGGTCAACCGGAGGGGGACCGCACGAGATGTCTTCCGCGTCGCCGGCGTTTGGACGTCTCCTAAGTAGGTATTTCTGTTAATCGGGCTCGATCATCCAGCCACCTTGGACAGGCGAACACGGTGTGCTCGGCCGTGTCGTCCGGGTCCATGCAATAGCCGCAGTAACTGTGGTCATTCATTTTTGCAAGATAGCTGCGGAAGCATCCGTGCCCTGACTTCGCCTGGGTCAGGTGATAAGTCTTTACCAGCGTGAGCTTCGCTAGCCATCGAGCGAGGTTCGGTATCAGCCTGTGTGTCCATTTGCGGCCGACGGCATCAGGTGGTGTTGCGGTTCGGTCCCATCTGGCTTGCCAGGCGCGTATGGAAATTTTCCTCTCCTCACTTTTTATTACAGCGGTCGGAGTTTGAGGTTCTCCGTCGTCTCTCCGGGTTTTCACTCCGGTCCGTTCGTGGGCGAGGAGGTCGGCTGGGATCATTGTCGCCAATACAGAGGACGCTTCGCCGGATACCGTTCGGTAGGATCTGATAGTCCTAAGGGCCGTGGTCCTCTGCGCCCTAACCATTACTTGTCGATTTTTAGCGGTCTTAACGCCTGTAGTCGTCGCCCAGGTCGGGACCACACAAATACCTAATAAATTAAAAAAATACATAAAAAACAGTGGCGCACAGCTTTTTAAAATTCAAATTTCAAGTGCTTTAGATGTATCATAGATCTCATTATTCTATATTATGTATTTTCCTGGGCCCCCACACGAGTCGTCTCAGAGGGGCCCAGTATTCTTGTGTCAATGAAATAAAATAAAAAAATAACCCCCTCCCCCCTCAAAAATAAATCCCAGTTGCGCCACTGATCAAAAAATGTAAATTATTTATCAAAACTTATAATGTTAAGTAAAAGGTTATATTATTTCATTTTATTCAGACTATATTAAAGAAAATTGATCACATTAATAATGCAGCGAACATAAACACTTCAAAGAGATGCAATGATGGATCATTGAAGCATAATGCTTTTAGTTCTTTAGAACAACCAGTTTTAGAAGATGTTTTGAAGAACAAAAAATT